AGTCTCGCATGATGACCCAGTACATGCGTTGTTCGTTTTAAGAACACTTTCACTGCAGATTTGACAAACACAAAGAAGGTATCAATGTAAGATTTCTAAAGATAGCTACAGCATATATATATAGAGAGAGAGAGAGTGTCTTTTGTCTGGCAAATAAAAATTCCCTGGAACCTAAACCCCCCCCCCCCCATTAATTCTTATGGGGAAATTGGATTCACTTAACATAGTTTCGCTTAAAGTCGCATTTTTCAGGAACATAACTACAACGTTAAGTGAGGAGCTACTGTATTACAAATTTTTAAAATCTCAAATGTATATCTGATCAAAATTCTTAGCACAAGTGAATCTTTATTTTCAAGCAGTTCTTTATAGAAATGTATCTATCCTGTTTGATGATACGGCATACTCTATTTTTATACCTGTTATAAAGAAAAGGGTCCAGTTGTGAGAAATGTAACTGGACCTGACCATTGAGTAATTTCTGCCTTTTTGTAAATTGCTTCTGTCTCCCTCCAGGTGCATTGAGTGAGGCAAGAAAAAAACCAATTTACAGACTATGTTTTGTGTTAAAATATTTTCAGTGCTGGAAACAGTTGCATTCAAAACTTGTCTTAAAATAAGTATTTGATAGCATTAACTTATTGGCATTTAAGAAGCAAATTACTATTACTGTCTAAAAGTATGGCATGTTTTAAAAAACTAAACTTAAAAAAAAACAACTGCATATTTTGTTTTCTTGAAAAACAGTACCTATATGTGGCTTTATATTAGATTTCTAAAACTTCAAAAAATAAATGACACCTGCTTGTACAAACTTTCCTTTCAGTTGCTTTTACCTAGAATAAGCTACTTGACGCTGGTAACGGACAAAGTGAAAAAACACTTTCAGAAGGTTATGAGACAAGAGGATGTTACTGAGATATGGTTTGAATATGAAGGCACACCACTGAAATGGTGAGTTGATTTAACTTTGGATCATTAAACTTTGCATGTATAATACTAAAAACTACTGTATAAAAAGATTAATCGAGTTAAGCACTCTGTCAGTATTTGCATCATAAACTAATCACACCTTACTGTAAAGACTGGAGTTTCAGTACAATGGCATCTTCTCGGAGAGACCCATCACAATATTACCATTTACAAAAATTTTGAATTAGTTTTGGGATGAGTGATATTTAAACTCTGTCTCTCTGTAGAACACTTAAATGCTTACTGTGACAGCTCTCATGCTTTGGAAGCATGGAATATTCAAGGACTGTTATATTGAGCTATGACATGTTATGGATACGTGGAATATTCAGACTATTGTGTCAACTTTATAAATGTTATATGCATCTTTATAAACTGGCTAGTAATTGTATTCCTGGCTAAATGGGGGAGCTAAAAGTTTGTGTTGTTTGGCGACTGTTTCATGAACGTAGTTGTTTCCTTTCTACTTTCTGCTGTAGACTGTGAACTATAAAAAGTAACATTGCTAATCAATAATCTTTCATGGAATAATACTTCCTTATTTCTGGAGGAGAACTGTGTTTAAAGCAGGTGATTTGAAAGCTATGGTGTGTGCTACCTCAATACAAATAACATTAGTTCTTAGTCATGCATTGAACAAGGCAAACTGATTTTAACATGTTTCTAGATGCATTTCTATATGTTGTAGATGGGAAGAAAAATATTGATATTAGCCACTTGGGTTTCTATGAAAACTAAATGTCATCTAGTGGACTCTGCTTTGCACTGCTGACTTGCAGGTGTTGTCTTGTGACTCTCACGCTAATGAAATCCTGTGAAAGGTGTTGCTTGAAATTGTTGGTAGGGCTGTCGATTAATCACAGTTAACTCATGCGATTAATTTTTTAATTGCAATTAATTTTTGAGTTAATCGCTTTTAACCGCCCTGTTAAACAATAGAATACCAATTGAAATATATTAAATATTTTTGCATGTTTTTCTACATTTTCACGTATATTAATTTCAATTACAACACAATACAAAGTGTGCAGTGCTCACTTGTATTATTTTTTATTACAAATATTTGCACTGTAAAAATAATAAAATAAATAGTATTTTTCAACTCACCTCATACAAGTACTGTAGTGCAGTCTCTTTATCATGAAAGTTCAATTTACAAATGTAGATTTTTGTTTTGTTTGTTACATAACTGCACTCAAAACCAAAACAATGTAGAACTTTTAGAGCCTACCAGTCCACTCAGTCCTAATTCTTGTTCAGCCAATCACTAAGACCAATAAGTTTGTTTACATTTAGGGGAAATAATGCTGCACGGTTCTTAATTACAATGTCAACTGAAAGTGAGAACAGGTGTTTGCATGGCACTTTTGTAGCCGGTGTTGCAAGGTATTTATGTGCCAGATATGCTAAACATGCATAAGCCCCTTCATGCTTCGGCCACCATTCCAGAGGACATGCTTCCATGCTGATGACGTCGTTAAAAAAAATGTGTTAATTAAATTTGTGATTGAACTCCTTAGGGGAGAATATTATTTCTCCAGCTCTGTGTTTTACCCAGATTCTGCCATATATTTTATGTTATAGCAGTCTCGCATGATGACCCAGTACATGCGTTGTTCGTTTTAAGAACACTTTCACTGCAGATTTGACAAACACAAAGAAGGTATCAATGTAAGATTTCTAAAGATAGCTACAGCACTCGACCCAAGTTTTAAGAATCTGAAGTGCCTTCCAAAATCTGAGAGGGACGAGGTATGGAACATGATTTCAGAAGTCTCAAAAAAGCAACACTTCGGTGCGGAAACTACAGAATCCGAACCACCAAAAAAGAAAATCAGCCTTCTGCTGGTAGCATCTGACTTAGATGATGAAAATGAACATGCCTCGGTCCTCACTGTTTTGGATCGTTATCAAGCAGAACCCTTTATCAGCAAGTCCTCTGGAATGGTGGTTGAAACATGAAGACACATATGAATCTTTAGCGCATCTGACATGTAAATATCTTGCAACACCAGATACAACAGTGCCATGCGAACGCCTGTTCTCACTTTCAAGTGACATGGTAAACAAGAAGCGGGCAGCATTATCTCCTGCAAATGAAAACAAACTTGTTTGTCTGAGTGATTGGCTGAACAAGAAGTAGGACCAAGTGAACTTATAGGCTTTAAAGTTTTACATTGTTTTGGTTCTGAGTGCAGTTATTTTTTTGTACATAATTCTACATTTGTAAATTCAACTTTCATGACAAAGAGATTGCACTACAGTACTTGTTAGGTGAATTGAAAAATACTATTTTGTTTTTTTTACAGTGCAAATCTTTGTAATCAAAAATAAATATAAAGTGAGCACTGTACACTTTGTATTCTTTGTTGTAATAGAAATCCATATATTTGAAAATGTAGAAAACATCCAAAAATATTTAAATAGATGGTATTCTATTATTGTTTAATGGCACAATTAATTGCGATTAAATTTTTTTTAATCGCTTGACAGCCCTAATTGTTAGCAATACAAAAAGAAGGAATTGGAATATATGCAAGAAATTTGTACATCCAGCTAGAGTTGGCACAGTGGAAGTTTCTCTTAGAATTGAACAATGGTGATTATTACTTTGAATTGTAGAGCCCAAAATATACTACATGCTGTTTAAATGAATAGTAAGGCATAGTGCTTGCTCCACAATCTTATATAGATAGGTGAAATATTATGACCTCTATAATCTGTGATTATGTTGTAGTGGGGGAAAAAGGGAAACTGGACTCTTAATATATTTGATGGTTTAAAAAAAAGAACGGCTTTAACTAAAGACTAATTTGTATTTTGATACTCCTCTGTTAGACTATCCCCTTCTTTTTTCTTATTATTTGTATCATCATAGTACCTAGGAGCCCTAATCGTGTACCAGGACCCCACTGTACAAACACATAACAAAAAGACGATCCCTGCCCCAAGAATCTTACAATATAAGTATAAGATGAAACAACGGATACAGACTGATGGGGGGAATACAAGGAAACAGAGAGACAGTATTGGTTAGCATGGTAGGTAGTGTTCTCTGTATACCAGCAGCCTAACAGTTGTCAAGTTTTTATAGGCATCACAGCAAAGGAGTGTTTTGAGGAGAGCTATGAAGATGAATGATGAAGTTGCTTTGTGGACATTTACGTGGAGTTCTTCCCAAGCCTGTTGGGCAGTCTGGGAGAAATCACAAAAGTGTCTGAAAATTTAACAGGTGGGCAGTGGAGGCCAACATCTTTGGCTGATTGGAGGCGAGTATTGACATCTCATTAGCAAGAAAAAGTTGATAGGTGGGATGGGGTCTCTCAGTGAAGGACCTTGAAAGTGAAGCTTATGTTTGATGCAATACAAATGGATTCAAAGTGAGGGATGAGATTGTCTATGATGGGCTAGGAGAACTCTCTTCGCTGCAGCATTCTGAATGGATATGAGCAGGGCAAGATTGGTCTTGACAAATGCAAATAGAAGGATGTGGCAGTAATCAAGACACGAGATGATGAAAGCCTGGATGAGAGTTTTAGCTGTGTGGTTGGATAGGAAAAGCCGTATCTTAGAGATGTTATGTAGCAAGAATCTGCAAGTTTTAGATATAGCCTTGATGTGAGGTCCTTCAGAAAGGTCCAAGTTGAAGATGGTGCCCAGGTTACTGGCAGGATAGTGATGTTGTACACCATTATCAAAAAGGAGTTTAGGAGCTCTGTTTTGGCTATGTTTAGGTTGAGCTGGCAGCTAGACATCCAGGAGGAGATGTCTGAGAGACAGGCTTACTTTAGTTTGGACAGAAGGAGACAGGTATGGCGTAGAGAACAGCTCCAAGGACATTTGAATTAGAATTAGACTGATTTCTGGGAGCACGAGGCACTACTTCAGGAGAAATATCTTTAGAAGGGTAAACAGAGCAGCCAAGTAAAAATGGGGTCGCTTAATAATGATCAAGGCTATTAATTGTATGATTCTGCAAACATTTAAGCATGTACTTAACTTTACTACCGGGAGTAGTCCCATTGAAATCAGTGGGGCTGCTTGCAGTAATAAAGTTAAGCATGTGCACAGGTGTTTGCAGGATTAGGTCCTTATTTTCATTATTGTAAGCTTTCCTATGTAAGTAAAGTGTTGGGCCATCCGAGGGACCTTTTTAACATTTGACGAGCACCAGCAATGTGGTGAGAACTGTACAGAACAGAGAATATGTAGGCCGTGCCCCAAGTTGTTGATTTAACTAACTTTTTTTTATGATGTAAAATGACACATTCTACTCTTGTTTAATCTAAGATGCATAGGGACTTTACTCATTTTTTGGGGGGAGCTATAGGGAGGTGCTCCCAAGTATTATGCAACTTTGGCTTCCCATGGGAGATAGAGAATGGCGAACATGAGAACCATTGCATGGAGAAGTTTGTGGCCTTCCTTTGCAACAGTACTACAGAATGGCCCATGGGTACCCCTTGAGCCATTCTGGAAGAGCAGTGAACCTAAAATTACGAGGCATTCACACCAGCTTATTTAAGATGTTGGGTAATTTTCAGAGAGACGAGGTGGGTGAGTTATTGAACCAACTTCTGTTGGTGAGAGAGAGAAGCTTTGGAGCCACAGAGATTTGGGAAAGGTATTCCCAGTGTCACAGCAAAATGCAAGGTGGAACAGATTGTTTTGTATAAGTAGTTAGCTCATACAGTAACTCCTCACTTAACATTGTAGTTATGTTTCTGAAAAATACAACTTTAAGTGAAACAATGTTAAACGAATCCAATTGTCCCATAAGATTTAATGTAAATGCAGTGGGGGGTTAGGTTCCAAGGAAATTTTTTTGGGGCAGATAAAAGGCATTATACTGGATACTCTATAGTACTGTACTGTACTTGGGAAGTGCCCCGGCTTACCCCACACAGGCACAGCCCGCTGCAGGCAAAGACGCTAGGAAGCACCTTTGCAGCAGCAGCGGCAGCTTCCCTGGAGAATAGGCT